CGCTCTACGTGGGGCTACCTTTGAAGGTGACCCGGAAACTGCAACTAATCCAGAATGCGGCAGCTAGACTGGTGACTGGGAGCGGCCGCCGAGACCATATAACACCGGTCTTGAAAGACCTACATTGGCTCCCAGTACGTTTCCGAGCACAATTCAAAGTGTTGGTGCTGACCTTTAAAGCCCTAAACGGCCTCGGTCCAGTATATCTGAAGGAGCATCTCCTCCCCCATCATTCTGCCCGGACACTGAGGTCCAGCTCCGAGGGCCTTCTGGCGGTTCCCTCACTGCGAGAGGCCAAGTTACAGGGAACCAGGCAGAGGGCCTTCTCGGTAGTGGCGCCCGCCCTGTGGAACGCCCTCCCATCAGATGTCAAAGCGATAAACATCTACCTGACATTCAGAAGACATCTGAAGGCAGCCCTGTTCAGGGAAGTTTTTAATATGTGACATTTTAGTGTATCTTTCATCTTTGTTGGAAGCCGCCCAGAGTGGCTGGGGAAACCCAGCCAGATGGGCGGGGTACAAATAATAAATTATTATTATTATTATTATTATTATTATTATTATTATTATTATTATCATTTAGTGCTGCTTTGGAGAAATCTTGGACCAGCTAAATGCAAACAAAGGAGGCAGCCAAACAGCAGAGAGAGGGGTGAAAAATTGACACTGAAGCACCTTTCCTTTGAGGAAAGACTAAAAGTTGACATTCAGAAAAGAAGGTGATTAAAAGTGAAGATGATCAGGGTTTCTCAAATTACACATGGTGTGGATAAAGTGGATATAAAGGTAGCATATATCTCCCTTTTTCACAAAACTATAACTTCAGGTATTCCAATGGAATCGATTGGTAGTAGTTCAGTGGAGAGCAAAGAAAGTAACTTCTTCACACAAAGCCAATGACATGGAGATGCCTACCAGCTAAGACATTTTTAAAGGGAACTGGATGAATTCATGGAGGAGGGTGGGTCTTTCAGCAGCTATGATCCATGATGATTAAATGAAACAATATACCTGAACATCACTTGCTCGGTGGGGCATTCAGCAAAGGAGGCAATTGACTTCATGCCTTGCTTATAGCTTCTCAGAGGGATCTGAATACAGGGCTGGGAAATCTGTGGCCTTCCAGATGTCTTTAGACTCCAACTCCCATCAGCCCCAGCCAGCATGGCCAATCAGAGGCAGTTTTGGGGTAGTACAACTGGTGTGCCGCACTCTACGCTGTGCTACAGGGAGAGCTACAACAATGCTGTAGAATGGAGTGCAAGAGGCAGAGGCACCAAATTTTAGTGTCGCACAGGACACCACTGAAATTTGAGAGCCCAAAGTCCACTACCTGGGTCACAGGTGAAGTGTTAACAGTCCAGCAACATCTAGAAGACCACAAGCTTCCCATCCCTGAATTAGATGGACCTTCACTCTAATCCAGGGTTCCCCAAACTTGGGTCTCTAGCTGTTTTTGTACTGCGATTCTCATCATCCCTGATGACTGGTCCTGCTAGCTAGGGATGATGGGAGTTGTAGTCGAAAACCAGCTGGAGACCCAAGTTTGGGAAACCATGCCTAAATGTTCAGGGCTGTTCTAATATTCTTACATAGTAGCAGTAGCATTTAGTGCTGCTGGTTAGCAATGCAGTGAAAAGCACACAGAAACACACCTTTAAGAAGAAATTCCACAGAGCAAAGGGCATCGCTCAACCCCTGTGTACCTTTGAAGGTACCCGTGTACCTTTGTACACACCTTAACCTCTGTTGGACTTCCCTTTGAGATAAGAGTACTTTATTTAAAGTGTTGGGGGGGTTCCCCCCTGCCAGCAAGTGTCGGTATTTGCAGGCATCTTATCTACACATTGCCGTTTCCTTGATCTTGTCAACCAATAAATGGAAACATACTTTACAGTCACGCAATAGGTGCACTTACCTATTAGTATGTTCCATTTATCCCAGTGGGACTTACTTCTGAGTAGACATGCCTAGGATTGCAGTGTTGTTCTCTCACCACATACACATGCCTAGAGACATGTGATTTGTAGCTTTTGAAAGTTGAGACTGGGAGAAAAATGTAGCCATATTATTATGCAACAATACATTGTGCTGCCAAACAATGGTGTCATAAAAACATACGGCCCGCACACCTGTGGATGCTGGCATAAAGTTTAAATCAATAACACCAAAAAAGAAGTTGGCAAATAGCCAATTATTTGTCATGCAAAAGTTTGGCTTAACATTTGAATAAGGTGTGCTTTTATTTTTTTATTTTTGAAGTGTGAATTGAACAATTTGGTACTTGTGAGATAGCGCTGCTCTTTAAAAAACAAAACAAGGTATTTATTCAAAATTAATATACAATTATATTAATTAGGCTTACATAATCCCTGTGGATATTACTGTATTCTTATTAGCATCTGAATGGAAACAGAGTACAACTGATGCCAAGTGGTGTGTAGATGTCTAAAGTTTGAAGTACAGTTTCTGAAATATGCATATAGAATCACTCAAAACCAAAAATGAGAACCAGTTACCCATTGCCTCTTGTTCACTCTAATTGGGATATTGGATTGCTTGGAATACTGCTCTGAATTTTGCATGGCAGTTCTCAAGCCATGTCATGTGTTCAAAAATGCACATACTAGGGTAAAGTGTGCATGAAAAAGCATGTGTTAGTAGTAAAAGTAACTTACAAAGATGCATTATATTAGAGGGGGGAATTTGAAAAAATTCTGTGTATTTGGCAAAAACCATCCAGATTCAGAAAGGGGGCAATAAAATCAGAAACAAATCTCAGTAAGAAGACCAAATAAATAACCAATTACAGCCAGGCCAAAAGTAAGTTGGAATGAAGAACCAGAATTGTGACCAGGTATGGCTGGAGCTAACTGTCTTCTTCTTCATAACTGGGCTGTTCCTTTCATTTTGAAGGGCTTAGAGATGTAACCCACCCCACATCTTGGTAGATTTGTGCAAAAGCAAATCTGCCCTCCTTTGTATCCTGCTAAGGTGTGACAGCACAATCAGAAAAAGGGGGATCTGAGGTTCAAAGGTCACATCTGTAAGACCTAACGCAAAAAAAAAAAAATTTAAAATTGCAAATAAGATGGTAGAACTGTTTCTGGATCGTGTCATTTCAAATTGCAGGGTGGGGTGGGGGAGTTACTGCATAATTGTGTTTTTATTGGACAAAGAATCAATTTTCTTTCAGGGTCACATAACAAAGAGCAGAAATCAACCAGCTAAACTTCTCCCATCATTAAATTTTGGGGGAAACACATTTTGTGTCTGCGTGCAGTATCAGAACCTTTGTTCGAAACAGACGTGCCTTAGGGACAGCACAGTAAGGTTGGTATCTGGTTTTCATATTAATGTCCAGAATCCAAACCTGAGGCCCCAACCGCAACAACCAGTGCAGCTGCTGGGCCACTGGTGAGACAACCATGGCTATGGCAACGGTCATGCCATGGTGAGGGAGGCATTCCTCCTCGCCCTGCCCCAACATTAAGTCAAGGAGGAAGCAAGGCAGGAAGTGGGAGGATTCAAGGTCTTTCTTGCAAGTCTTTAAAGGCAGGGAGACTCCACTGTGGCGCCTGGTGTGCTTCAGAAGTTGGACCACAAGGATGAAAGGGTGAAATCAGCCATGATTAAGTGGGCACAAGATATTGGTCATAACATTATGTTTGTTGACTGGGAACAGTTGTGGACCACCGGTATGAAATTTACGGCATGTAATGCCTTAAAGGAAAATATTATGAAAATGATTTATAGGTGGTACATGACCCCAGTCAAGCTTGCAAAAATTTACCACTTGCCTGATAACAAATGTTGGAAATGTAAAGAGACTGAAGGTACATTCTTTCACCTTTGGTGGACATGCCCAAAGATTAAGGCTTTCTGGGAAATGATATATAATGAACTGAAAAAAGGTATTTAAATGTACCTTTCTGAAGAAACCAGAGGCCTTTCTCTTGGGTATGGTCGGCCAATTGGTGCCAAAGAAGGACAGAACATTCTTTATGTATGCTACAACAGCAGCAAGAATACTCATCGCAAAGTATTGGAAGTTACAAGAACTACCCACCTTGGAAGAATGGCAGATGAAGGTGATAGACTATATGGGACTGGCAGAAATGACTGGCAGAATCGGAGACCAGGAAAGAGAGACAGTGGAAGAAGATTGGAAGAAATTTAAGGACTACCTTAAGAAACATTGCAAAATTAATGAATGTTTGAATGACGTTGGTTTAGAAATTATGTGGTTTCTAGCGGTAATGGTTAAGTAAAGAAAAGAAAGATTAGAAATTTAAATGAAAAATAAGGGTGAGGATTTGCTGAATTAATAAGTGGAAATTGGAATACAGAAAGGGGAGGTACGGGGAAGTCGGGGAATTAAGTTACAAGAAAATAAGGGGTTGAAACTATACTTGTTTTTGTTTGTTTGTTTGTTTTATTGTTCTGTTTTGCTTTTATATAATCTTTGAAACTTTAATAAAAATCTTTTTTAAAAAAACAAAACAGAAGTTGGACCACAGTCCACAGGGACACTAGGACGTGGACAAGCAATAGAACTTTCTGGTACTTATCTCAACAAATAACCCTTATTTGTGCCCAGAAGTCAACCTCCATATGCTTCAGGAAACTCTGTCTAAAGGAGGAAAGACAGAAAGCTGACTTCTCAGTCAAGAGCCACTTCAAGGAACTGGTATGCATATTAACAAGCCTTGCTGACAAAACCTGCAGTGCTGTACAAACGCTCCAGCCAATTTTCAGATGTTAATTGCTTTGCCACTTTACTCTTAAAATAGCAAAAAGCCTCACCCACATTATGGACTGAAGCTGAACCTTTAGTGAGCAATTTTTTAAAAAAGAAAAAAAAGAAGTGTGATAGTACGCCTGATTTAAACATACACCATACTAAGTACAGTACACTGTAATCTAAACAGAACCAGATTTTATCATTTGAGGCAAAGTTCACCTGATCCCTCAGAGACCTGAGGAACACCTATTTACTTGGGTGATCGAAGCAAGATTTATTTATTTTATATAACAAAATGTGTATACCATACACATTGTAATATTATTGTAATAAAACCTCTAAGCAGTTTACAAGAAATCTACCGTAAGTGGTTTACAAGTTGGAGGAAATGGATTGACTCACTGGTCCTAAAACACCTCTGGCCTGGATAAATAATAGTATATTAAATTGTTATAATTAGCAATAGTTGCATAATATGAATATTGGGCTGTCCAAATTTCAGAGACTGCAAATTGGTAACCCCACTTGAAGTACTCAAACTGTATCAAGAAAACTGTAAGCGTTGACTACAAATGGTAGTTCCTGAGTTAATTTTCCAATTTGTTGGAGACCACAAATGCTCAAAATTATTCAGAGCTCAAACTATTCATGTATGTGGGCCTAACAGAGATACAGTGAGCAGCTACACAACATAAGGTACTTTTGGTGGTGGCACCCACTTTGTCAAATTCTTTGCCCCAGAATATCTGGTTACCATATATACATATACACACCATAAGCACAGTACAATACTTAAAGGTCACAAACGATGACGTTCGAACAACAATCACCAAATGAGGAACAAAATGGAATTGCACAAAACTGGAAGTAGGGATTGGGAAGTATTTGCATCCAGGAACAGCTAGTGATTCAGCAAGAAGCAGTTGTAAACTTGTAGCTCCTACCTTACAACTAGAAATGCAACTGGAACTCCTGAATGTTTAATAGCTATGCAGCGGTCTGAACTCCAGAAGGAATGACTGCTTCTTTGACAATGTGGTGATGGGAAAGGAACTTGCAGCAAATGAACTTCACCTTGACGAGATGCTGTTAAAGGTCCTGGAGACCTCCCTAGACCAGGAGATCACAACACTGCATCTCAACTCCTATTCCTGATAGGGTCAATTTGATGCTGCAAATTCAGAGCGCTCCCAAAAGTCATACATTCACCCTGGGAAAGGATGCTGCGTGGAGCTGTGTAACCGGGTGATTGCTTGTGTCATGTGTGAATGGGTTGTCACAGATAGGAAAGTGCTGTCAGTGGTGTTGTCTCTTCTTTAGCATTTCAGATTCAGTGCCTTTCTTTCAATGGAGCTAGGTCACACATGTAGTCACCACTTATCATACACCCGTGCTGAGAAAGTATGAGCATGAGTGAACTTGAGGAAGGGTCATAGCGCAGAGTTAGAGCATCTGTTTTGTGTGCAGAAGGTCCCAGGTACAATCCACAAGCACCTGCAGGTAGGGCTTGAAATGTCCCCTGTCTGAAACCCTGGAGAGCTACTACCAGTCAGCATAGATGACACTCAGACAGATGGACCAATGGGTTGGCTTCGTATAAGGCAGCTCCTTGTGTTCCTGTGTTAATTGAACCTAGGTCAGAATGAAGTACAGGTACCATAAATGACTTGGCAGAATTCAACTCTTTTCACCTCTGGCATACTTTATTGGTGCAAGTGTTTATGCTTGGAATGTAATATAATAACAATTCCTCCCTTGCAGATAAGGATCTTAATTGATTTTGGAAGAACATGATATGCAGTAGTATGGTAATCATTACAGCAGAACTGCTTTATGCATTTTAAAGCTGCATCACAAAGAGGGGCTGGCACTTCAGTCCTATGTTATTAAAAGTGGATTAGAGAAATTCATGGAGCAACTCGTCAGAATACTGATACAGAGCTTCCATGTTTGGAGGCAGTAAACCTATTGATGGGGAACAACAGCAGGAGAGGGCTGTTTTCTTCTAGCTTGGCTTGTTGGCTTCCCAGAAACATCTGGTTGGCCATTGTAGGAAGCAGAATGATGAACTTGATGGATCTTTGGCCGGATCCAGCAGGGCTTTCCAATATGGTCAATGGAACCCAAGGTTATGGGGGGACATTTAGATGGCTAAATGGGGAAGTTACCCAGCTAATAAGGCAACTTTGCTGTCTACTGTATGTGTTATATGGAGAAAGAGTTGAGTCACATCTTCCTCTGAGCTTTAACTGAAGTGCAGGAAGGCTGGCTGGCTGCTGAATACCTAAGAGTGTTACTCTTGCTGTTTTTGTTCTTTCAGATAAGTCCCTCATTTTACACTTTGTTTAAAAAAAATTCCACACTGACCTCTTTAAAAGCAAGACGAATGCACTTAAAAATAATAACAATTGAGAGCTGTATGGTGCATATTAGGCAAGCCTCTTCCTTTCCTGTATTTAGAGCAGGGAGGGGGAACCCTGTTGCCCTCCAGGTGTTTAACTCCAATCCCCATTATCCTCAGCCAACATGGCCAATGGTCAGGAGTGATGGGAGCTGTGGTCTAACCACATCTGGAGGGCGGCAAATTCCCCATCTCTGTGCTTAGATGAAAGCCTAGATGGTGATATTGTGGGGTTTTCCAGAAAGGTGACCACCTAAGAAGCAGGAGAGACGATGTGTCACATGATAGAAAGGACACTCACAACGCACCATGGCTACCTTAAAACAAAGATAAGCACAACAAAACTTTGCACCCCACCCATGAGGATTTTACCAACATCTTATCTACTCTTTCATAATTTTCAATTTTCTTTTCTTATTAATTGATGGAGACTAAGAATGGGAAGTGCAAGAGGAGCTACACCATGAGCTATAATGGGCACCCACTGTAATTGCTACATATGGATGCTCAAAAGTTTGGCCCCATAAACCGTCACTTCCTTCTCTGTCAAAATGTTTGGTGTAGAAATGAATTTTTGTATCTGAGCACAAGACCGGATTTTTAAAAAAACAGAAACAAATAAATTTGCTTCTGTCTGATCCAAACTCAGGGAAAATTTTCCACGGGAGACCAAGCCCTAAACTACCTTCTTACGCTACACACCAAGACAAAAATTTATAACTCTGCCTGCATGTTCCAGCCTTGAGGAGGGAGGGGGAAAATCCTTATTATTTATTTATGCCTGTTGTGTTTAAGAAGTTAAATCCCCAGAGCATCTCAATTTAGATCAAAAGCAAGCTACCATACTTCACCTGGCACACCTGTGCCTTATGATTTCTTAATTACCTGCCTCGCATTCCCAAAGCTAGAAGGCAACGGGGCAGGACTCATTTTCGCGCATGTACACATCTCTGAAATGCACCTAATGTAACAAAGCCTTTCCAGAATGCCTGAGGTGTTAACCAGTTTTAAAGAATCCCACAGATCCCAAGCCACTTGCATTCCGGCAAATTGCCTCCTTCCAGGTTTTGAGGGTTTAAAAGAAAATGATGAGGGAGATGCCATAGGGCTCTCGGGCTGTGGCCAGTTATGATTGCTCATCTCTGGGGATTTCCATCATCCCACCTGGCCACCAAAATGGCACTGAACCTGCAATCAAAGGAATCTTGGATCCTGATTTCAATGAGGCCGGGGGGCAAGGAGAAGATGAGATTCTGGAACTGGAGAGGTAGATGCATACAAAGTTGCCAGTTTTCTGGGAGGGGTGGGGGATAATTGACCACTCTTGTGCCTTTATTTGCCCGTCATGGATTACTGCCTTGCCGTGCTGAAGGGGCTTGAATAACTCAAAGAAGCTATGAACTATGCCGAGCAGGGCACCCAAGATGAACAGGTCATAGTGGAGAGTTTTGACCAAACGTGATCCACCTGGAGGAGGAACCGGCAAGCCACTCCAGTATCCCTGCCAAGAAAACTCCATGGACAAAGACAACAGGCATATAAAAGCTATGACACTGGAAGATGAGCCCCTCGGGTCGGAAGGCGTCCAACATGCTACTGAGGAGGAGCGGAGGACAAGTACAAGTAGATCCAGAGCTCATGAAGCGGCTGGGCCAAAGCCGAAAGGACGCTCAGTTGCGGATATGCCTGGAAGCGAAAGGAAAGTCCAATGCTGTAAAGAAAAATATTGCATATAGTGACTAAACGACTAAACAACAACAAATGTGCCTTTATTTTTACATTTTTACATTTAAGCCTCACTTTTCTCCATTAAAAGAAAGTTAATTCACATAGTGCATTATTTAAAAGTATGGAATTCACTCCCTCAGGAAGCAGTGATGGCCACCAAGTTGGGTGTCTTTAAAAGAGGATCAGACAAATTCATCGAAGACGAGGGCTATCAGTGGCTACTAGCCACTGTTGGAGGCAGTAAGCCTCTGAATACCAGTTGCTGGGGATCACAAGTCCCCGCCCCATTACCTTTCTCCATCAATTAATAAGAAAATTGAAAATGTCCTTGTGTCCAGGGAAGTCAAGGCAGTACACAATATTTTCCAAAAGAGTCTCCTCTCCACACACCAAACCCAGACCTGTTCAGCTTTGGCAAGGTGGCTGCATCATCCAGTGGCGTGGCGTGGGGGGTGCAGGGGGGCCGGCCGCACCGGGCGCAACATCTGGGGGGGTGCACTCGCACTCGCAGCTCTCTGCCCCCTGCTAAAATCCACGGGTTAGGGGGCACAAATTACTTGCCTTGCACCGGGTGCTGACAACCCACGCTACGCCACTGGCATCATCTGCCTTCAGATGATACCCTTGATCTTTCAAAATCAGCAGGGAGATATGCCTGTTACGTCTCCCCAAATACAGCTACAGTATCTGTCTGGAAAGCCGGCAAGCCTGGGTACATCTCTCCCCACTCTTTATTAGGTTTCATGCCAATTCTCTTTTCCTTTAAGAGTACAGGTTGCAAGTGAGTAGAGCAATAATTAATGTTCAATTGGAGTTACGTGGCTAGAGAGCTCTTTCTTATTTCTTTTACCGCAGCACCCCTAGGGGCCCATAGTAAGCCTCTTAAGCTGGGAATTAGTTGCTATAGCTTTGCTATGAGAACCAACTCCACCCAAAATAGAGTGTAACTTGATTGTTTGCCATGTCCTTTTGGGGACCAGCACATGTAGCTTTCCTTTGATATTTTCTTCCTCCTGTTTAAAAAAATATGCAGGTGCAAACGCTGAAATCTTCAGGAGAACATTGGTACAGGGAAAATGCTTCTTTCATCCTTTTCTCTAAGAACTCCCCCAGCAGCTTTTCCTCAATAGGGAAAAGATACCAATACCTTATCTCTATGGAGAGGGGGGAAAGCACCTGGTGCCATTTTTAGTGGGGAAATTGCCAGAGGAAACTCTCCCTCTTTACTGGCCTTCCATTGCAAATTGCAGCCTTTGTGGCTAAAATGGGGATCAAACCTGCAACCTTGGCATTATCAGCACCACACCCTAACAAACTGATGTTAGTGATTAAGTTTAGACACCATTAGAAGAACTTTCTGATGGCAATAGCTGTTTGACAGCAGAATGGACTACCTCAGAAGGTGGTGGACTCTCCTTCATTGGAGTTTTTAAAAAGAGGTTGGATGGCCATCTGCCAGGGATACTTTAGCTATGATTCCTGCATTGCAGGGGGTTGGGCTAGATGATCCTCAGGGTCCCTTCCAACTCTATGATTCTATGGTTAATAATTATTCCAAAGAAAATCAGTGAGAGGCATGTATTTTAAGTTTTACTTCTATTCAGTCTTCCACTCTATGAATCGACTAGTCCCAAAGAATTATCACATTCTTAGTATCTCAACCAAAATACAGAGATAATATGATGGTAACGTCGGTATGTTATAAATCCACACTGCAATAAGAAGAAGCTGAAATGTGTAACTCTGCATGTACATGGTCACAGGCAAGTGGACAGTGCCGCATTGTGGCTTCCACTACTGCACAATCTGTGTTTGTTTCAGGGAGGCTTGTAAGAACCTCTGGCAAGGGGCTTCTGGATTTCTCCTGCTGCGGTAAGCAAATTTCCAGGTCCCCGGATGTTCATAGCAAGAGGAGTTGATATGCTACCAGATTTGTATCCACATAAAGATCGCCTCGACAGCAGTCATGAAATTAAAAGACGCCTGCTTCTTGGGAGAAAAGCAATGACAAACCTAGACAGCATCTTAAAAAGCAGAGACATCACCTTGCCAGCAAAGGTCCAAATAGTTAAAGCTATGGTTTTCCCAGTAGTGAGGTATGGAAGTGAGAGCTGGACCATAAAGAAGGCTGATCGCCGAAGAATTGATGCTTTTGAATTATGGTGCTGGAGGAGACTCTTGAGAGTCCCATGGACTGCAAACCTAACCATTCTTAAGGAAATCAGCCCTGAGTGCTCACTGGAAGGACAGATCGTGAAGCTGAGGCTCCAATACTTTGGCCACCTCATGAGAAGAGAAGACTCCCTGGAAAAGACCCTGATGTTAGGAAAGCGTGAGGGCACAAGGAGAAGGGGACGACAGAGGACAAGATGGTTGGATAGTGTTCTCGAAGCTACCAGCATGAGTTTGACCAAACTGCGGGAGGCAGTGGAAGACAGGAGTGCCTGGTGTGCTCTGGTCCATGGGGTCACGAAGAGGCAGACACGACTAAACGACTAAACAACAACAAAAGATTGCCTCCACATTTCCATCTCAGTCTTCTTTTAGGATTGAGGGGAAGAGTGAGCAAGGAAGAGCATGTCATGTTCACAGACATGAAGGCCAGATTGTTTAGTGTCTTGTGTCCTTTCCTCGGCAGGAAAAAAAAAAGCCTCTCATCTAATGTCACCCTAATTGCCCAATTTAATTGCATTGTAGCAGCTGATTGTTAAGTATCCTTGCTAAAGCTGTTTAGCTGAAATTGGATTTGCAGTTCAGAATGAAAAATTAATTCATGCAGAGTTTATTTAAATTAAAGAGGCAAAAGCAGCCACCCGTCATCCTCGTGCTCAAGAGATTCAAACAGATAGATGCCTGAAATGAGCTGCATTGAATTGCAAAGAGCCCTCTTGCAATCATCCTAGGTTTGTTGAAGTTGTTCGGTGTTAGGCTACCCAGCGGAGGCATGTCAGCTCCCATCAATAAGCGGGCGAATTATTCTTGCCCTCACAAACCCTTTTATTATTTGCAATTTAATTCACGATGCTGCATTCTAATACAATCAGGAGACAATTTTCTTTTAATTGCAACTTTGGGTACTTTCCCATGGCCTGAACAGGGATGAGGTCATGGTTGACTTTATTCTGCATATAATCCATAAACATGTAGAGAGAAGGGAGTTTGTGTGATGATTCATGTGAGGATAGTATGAGAGAAGAACCACTGTGGGGATTGTGGCTTCAGTTCTTGGACTTCAATGTGGGAATTGTGCTAGCCTACTAATGTTCTATATAACAGTATTCAGTAATATGAAATGTGAACCCCTTTCCTCTCTTTACTATTAAAAACTAGAGTGGCATTCAGCTAATATTTACTCTGAGCAGACCCACTGAAATTAATAGACTTAGCCATGCACATTAATTTCATGAGTCTACTCTGAGTAGTTAAATACAACCCCTAATCTTTTATCTACAACATCAATTACACATTTAGTCCCGCTAAACGTTTCCTACAAGAAAATTGATCCTTGGCTATTTCCTAGCAAACATCACTTTTCCAGCTCCTCTGTTCAAAAACTGCAGCTCTTGGCTTTAATCTAACATGTTTCCTGGGCTACATGTTATTCAAACTGATTAGTCAAATCACTGAATGAACCCTCTTGTTAATCTGAATTTAATTGACATTTCACCCCAGTTTGCCAGGAGCTGGCCTCCCTTGCTTACCCTTCCAAGAGCTGAGGACAAATCTCAGGATGGCCTTACACTCCCCAGCACAGCTAAGATTATAGCCTGCCTCTCTTAACTGTTGTTCATAGAGGTAACAGCAGCATGTCCCTAACGCTAAGGAGAAGCTTGAGTTGAATTAAGAAACAGTTTTTACTTTGGAAAATATTGTTTTCTTTTCTCTCTGTGTTATTTTATCCTCTTCATAATCCAGGTAAAAATAATAATTCAGAGTGGTTCTACACATTACACAGAATGGGGCAGCTGAAAGGTGTTAGAAGTCAATTGTACCAACTAATTGAAATTGAGGGTCAATATTTTTTAACACACACACAAACACAAATACACAGCTTGCATCTAATAAAACTATTATTCATTCTGCTGTGCTAGTTTACCTAGTGTGGGGAGCTCCTTATATTAGGAACCATTCAAACATCTGAAAATCTCCCCTGAAGTCTGAAGTGGTGCAGTCCAAAATTCTATTGATGAATTCTGCAGCCATCCTGTATTCTCATTCTGATTCTGTTGTTCGGGTTTATGTAGCTAAAAGGCACCATGCAGAAAAAGAACAAGGCACCTGAAGAGTCAAGTTAATCCTGATATTTGCAACAGTTATGAAAAAAAATATGGGGCAAATTACCTAAAGGATGAAGATTCATATTGTTAGATCTGCTCTATTATGGAGAGCATTATCTTTATGCGACTCTTCCTTATGTGTTAAATACCAAATTTCACCTTGGAATGGCATGTCCAAAGAGAACAGTCCTTCCATCTAAAGTAAATTATGACCTGGTCCCATTAAAATCAACAGAATTTAACAAAATTGCAAGCCATTTCACACACACCCTGCCCTTCATGCCACTGCTTTTCCACTTCCATGGTCACAACTAATTTTTGCTGAATTGTATCCTTGCAAAACTCGGTTTAAGGTAAGCTCATATTCCTACATGGATAAACACCCCGACACTAAAAGAGTAATATGTCAAAAGGTCCATAGGCCACATTCACATCATACATATAAAGCGCTATTGTATCACTTTCAATAGTCATGGCTTCCCCCAAGTAATTCTGGGAGCTGCAATTTG